GTCGCCAAGAGGCAAAAAAGTTACCGTTCAGGGTCATGATCTAGTGTACGTTTCGTAATCGCCCATTTGGGATCGTCTATTCAGAATTTTATTTATTTACTACTCTAATCAGCAGTTACAACTCATTCCGAATTTACGCCTATCTGTTATCACCAATATCCTTAATACCATATTTTTCCTTCATTGACATCCTTCTTTCCGCACAGCTAATGATAGTAGTGTTGGGAATCACCTGTCTTCATGAAATTCTAACGTACATTATGGAATTGACGAACACAGACGCTTTGGCTACCATATTGCCCAATGATTTCTAGGAAGAGGGATTCAATGTGAGCTCGGAAATACCGATTGAAGATTGATCGATTGATTAAAAATGCGCCTAATGATCCATCAGAGCAACTGTTTGGAACAGCCAACAGTGGGTACCCAGTGGTACTAATTCCAAATCAACAATAAGGAATGTTTGTAATTAATGTGACCGAATTGGTTCTTTCCCAGATGTAAATATTCCAAACAACAATAACCCTTTTGCCGATCGCTCAAACTCGACTCTCAAACCAACCGCTCAATGTCCAAATTCCATACTCGAGTTTTTTTAAGTTTCATAAGTACAAGCCGATGTTGTGAACGAGTGTGAGTCGACGTCTATGTTAAAGGAAATGTTTGCATCAGTTGAAAGCACAATTTTTTGAATTACTACTGATGCGATTTCAATATAAAAGCGCAAAAAGCAATCCGACTTACTTCATCCATAACCTCAGCATCTAGGTGGCAAATAGACATATCAGTGAAATTACTCCTAAAATCATCCAATGACATCCTGAAATTAAAAGAAGAAATTCAATTGGATGCTGCGCTGCATAAACATCAAATCACAGGTACAAAAGAGACTGATTGGCATTTTATAGGATTTCGAAATTGAATTTCAAACCATCAAGCATTTCATGAAAGAGTGCTTATTGAAGGTAACATTCAGGTTGTAAAGCGTCTGTTCATAGCAAAACAGTTCTTCCACTAAACATACCTAATCACAGAAACTTCCAATTTCATGATGACATGGATTAATTAAGTCGTAAAACGAACCAAAATTCTCCATCATGTTCGATTTTCAGTCCCAACTTATCTTTGTCCTGTTGCGATATACTCTTCCATTCAGGCGATTGATCTGACCAGGCTCCATTCCATTCGTGTTTATCACCCCATGGATTACGAAGACGTAAGAGTAGATTATCTTTCTTGGTGTCTGTGGGATCCTTCACCTGGCATTGATGACTGCTGAGAAATTCAGTCATTCTCATAGAGGAAACAATTGCAAGAAACTTGGACAATATATCAGTTTTTAAGCTGAATAAACAAAAAGCAACAATAACGATGAGAATAATAAGAACATAGGGTGATTTCGAAGTGAAACTAACCACGCAGATACCAGTGATACTGTATGCGTGACTTTTTATCAATCCGCTCGACGTTTCTCCTACACCCTTCAAATAAAACAGTTGAATTGTACAATTTCGTGGAAAATCAAACACAACTACGTGACAGAATCATTCAATGCACGGGTGTTCCAAGGCCGAAACATAGTAAAGACTGAAAAGAGGTCAATATACCTTGATGCTACATCCGAACAGCGATCCCATTTCAAAACCAAGCAGCATTTCCTTGAGATTTTTAGGCGACTTTTGCAAATTATAGAACTCCGTTAATCCACCAGTCATATCCTCTAACGCCTCTGATGAATAACCACCTTTCAACGCCTCATACGATCCATACAATCTAAATTCAAGTTTCTAAAATAAAGTCAATCACAGAAGTGAGCAATAAAAGGATTTACGCCTTGAACTTCTGGCGGCTCGTATTTTTCATCCAAGAACCGGATATTCACATCGATAAAGTGAAACAAATGTGAACTGACACAGCTGATTACTTTGCATAACTTTTTTCCAATAGGGCACTCCAAAATTCGTTATTCTCTCTGGAATTCATGTACACTAATTTGCCGCCTGATGTTGGTAAACGATCGTCCACCA